AAAAATAATGTCCAGAATGAACCGCGATCACTGAAATGAGAGTTTTATTAGCTTGAAATTTCGGATTTCTGCTCCAACACACCATCCGGGGCAGTAGCATATACGGATACTTTCCACACAATTGGGCTGCAGCACATATAGGATGCAGTCGCCATGCTACAGCATATCCATGAAAATTCACGGCTCCCCGTTTCATCAGGGATCGTTGCACTTTGTGTGATGACTGTTTGATGGCCAACATTCGCGTTGTTAATTGCTGAAATTTTCATCATGTATGTTGGATGTTGGTGTGGTAAGCGTTCCGTCCTCTGACTCAAGGACGTTTGCGTTAGGGTCAGTGTTCACCTGTGCGCTTCCCGTGCCGCCAATTACTCCGAGTACGCCAGGCATCAGAAATAAATTGCCACTTTAGGGGAAATTAAAACACAAACCATAGATGAAAATTAGTATTATCTTCTTTATAAATGATATTTTTCAGTAAAGCCGAAAATTTCAATAAACAACAAACATAGTTGCGACCGAGAAACAGTTAGATGTATATTAAGTCCCTCTGTTGAAACAACTGATTAAATATGACCGAATAAGATACGTTCCATCAGCGTAAACAGGGCCTTACTCATTTCCATCTATGGCGACGCCAGAGGAATATAATTTTGTATAATTTCATTAGAAGCCCGACTGGTCAGCTCTTATTAAATCTAAACAGCATCGGCAGGTGTGATTATAATCACACTACTGTTGTTTATATAAACACACCTTTTTCTGATAACTTACTATTTACCACTTTGTTCCAAATTACGTTAGGCTCTAGATCGAACTTTAAATACCACACTGTAATAAGGAATTTCCATTACTTTTAGATGAATGGCCATCAAGAAAGTTTCTTTGTTCGAATGCACTTTTTTATGAAGATGGTAATTTAAGTCACACGTAAAGGCTTACTCAAACACAAATTGCTGCATCCGCTTAAACCTGGCCTGGACGGGTTTTTGCACGCGAATGTGTTGAAGCGCGGAGGGAACAATAAAAATGTGTGATGTTTCAGGCGTCCGAAAATCTTTAACGGCTTCTGTTATCAAGATTCATGAGTTAGATTATGAACTGCATGTGGTCACCTGTTGTCGAGTGCGATTATTGCCGGCGGCAGAAAAGACGTGCATATCGTTGTGAACAGCCTGGCGTGTCTGGTATAATGCAGCATTGGGCAGCACGACTATTAGTTCTACAAGGACACTACGAAAGCGCAATTCAGATTTTTAGATGACATCTCATGAAAGGAGTTGCTGACAAATGTCCACATTCCCCGCCTTGATCAATGGCCCGTTTACGAAAATTTTCAACTTTCTACAGTTTTGCTTCTGCCTTATACACACCAATAGTGATTCGACAGCAAACGGGAAATCTCCCGTTTGCTTTTATACCCAAATCACTTTTTGCGATCAATTCCTGCGATCTAAATTCATTCAAATGCGAAAATATTTCTTAGCCTCTGAGTGCTGTGGCTGTTCTGTCTTATCCAAACAAAACCGCTGATACTTATGGAATACTTGCATATTCCTGAAGATAAGAGGTTTATACAAATAAAAAACGACCTCTTAACTCATTTCTACACTTTCTTGTCGCCTGATTCAAACGTATGCGGATTAAAGCTAAGGCTGTTAAACTGGAAAACTATGTTAAATTATAGTAGTAATCCATAGTAAAAACGACATACATGTCCACATCTGACAACCTATACAGACTAAATAAAATATAACGTCGAATTCCTGCCAGAACTCTAAGCACTTTGCTGGTAGAATAACTCAAAATAAAATTGTGCAAAAGACAGGGAACTTTACTGGCTTTTGTTGGATTAGCAAGCAAGAGGGGCAGTTCTTGGGGTAACGCGAGCTCAAAATGATAGCCTTGACTGCCAAAATGCATGAGACATGTCGCCTACCACAAACATTTTCCACAATAATAGCCCCTAATCCTGCCTCACAGTGTAAGATATGATAAGGGCCGTGCTTTACACAATTCGTTTAAGTGGGTTGATCAAATCTGCCAACAGCACCGATCAATTAAGTGGACCTCGTGGTCATCCCCTAGAATCTAGATTGATTGCATAAGAAATCCTGACTCGACAGTCAGCTTACTGTAGCAGCTGGGCGGCTGACCTGACCTCAGTTTGATTTTATCGATGGCAAAAAAACAATCTCCCAGCAACTGGCTTCAGTATGGTAAAGGGGTGACACAGCCACAAACGGGAATGACCGGTGCTTTAACAAACACCGCCCAGCACGCTTTTATCTTAAGATTTGCCTGTGTCAATAATTTAACAGTCGACCCTGTTTTGCCTTCGTTTATGCCTGACTTTTGTTTTTCAGTCTTATCTGGTCTGGAATTTAGTCCCCGCTGCTTAGAAAAATAGGACAGTCGCAATACTGCAGGCTAGTTTGGAGGTAATGTCAGGAGATGGAGCGGCGTTTCAGATGAAAAATCTTGCTGAAAACGAAATAAGCCTATCCACTGCTGTTAGAAAAGTCATTCCAATGGACCCACGCTAAAGTAGCGGGCCTTTGCAACCTGGTTGAAAACACCATTTGAAGAAGAAAATAGGCTCTCCGGAACAGGTTTATTTAACTGCTGACGTTTCAAAGACCTGGGTCGGCTCTTCATTGTCAAAGCGAAAAATGCACTTAATCGATTAGAAATTCAATTTAAAGTGGCATCTTGTGTTGGTCAGCCTTATGCTGATCGATTTTTTTCTCCTCTCGCTGCCTCATCCTCTCGGGAAATGGTGGACGGGCGTTTTGCCTCCGTCCAGGGGAGCTGAGTGAACCTCTGTCGGGCGGTCGGTCTGGCGTTTCTTGTTCTTCCTCATCGAGGAAACTCGTAGCGCCTTCTTAAGTCCGGTGTGGTTGTTTGGTCCTGAGCTCCACGAGTGTGATGATGCAGGACTTTGTAAGCTACAGGAAGGTCCAGATGCCTGTTGATAAAGTGGGCATCGGAGAACCACGCCTCGAGAGTTAGCCGTACTGTTTTTGTGTTGTCTCGGCCTAAGATGGTAGCCCTCTGGAGGTCAACGTGCGTTGCTAGTTGAAAGTTAGGGCCTAACCTCCGAATGGCCGATTTGTGCTCTTGTAGGCGAGTTTGCAATTTCCGCCCGGACTCGCCCACATAGTTGCAGTCGCCCTCATTGCAGGTTATTTTGAAGATGAGCGCTTAGGTTTCAGCAGGTGGCAATGGGTCCATGGGTTGCATCAGGCGACGTCGAACTGTTGCTTGGGGTCGATGGGCTATGCCTACTCTGGTGGGTTGTAACAGTCGCGAGACCGCTTCAGAGACCCTTTGCATGTTATCGCGAGAATTCCATAATCTGAACCACTACAGACTTAAAGAGATTTTTGCATAAGGAGTTCGACCGTCAATTTCGAAATCGCCTAGTCATCCCTACATACAAACACAATAGTTCGCCTGTCATTGCCGACGATATCCACCGTGGGCTGCACACTAGGTGCAACAGGCACATTGACTTGCGCGCGAACTAGTTAATAGTGCTAGAGGACATGCGCAGCAGCTACCGCACACTCTCTTAGCACTCACCACCTGGACCCGGTGTCATGACAGGGTCAAGCGAACCGGAGGCGGAGGAAGGCACAGTATGCGACACGGACGGTCCCGCACCTGATAGTTCGACCATCGATTTCGATGATGTCCACCGTGTGCCCCACGGCTGCAGCAGCGGTGGGAGCAGGGACGGTGACTTACGCAGGGTTTTATAATGCCGGTAGACTTGCGCTGCATCTACCTACACTTTCTTCTCTTCCCTCGCCCGAGCCCGGTGTCAAGACAGAGTCAACAAGCACGGAGACGAGGGAGGCCGCAGATGGATGGCTCGGACGGATCCTCACCTTGGCGTTCCACCACACCCCCGGTCCACACAACAAATAACCAGGATTTTGACCAGCACAACAGCGTTTGGAGACTGGCACGACCGAAGCCACACCTAGGCGTGCTGTCACATTAAAAAGGAGCCATTGCAGCCGGACTCTCAGTCCTCCAATTCAGGAGGAGGTCCAAGTTATCCCGTCAGTTGGTAACCTTCCAAGCCACGGCTTTTAGCGCACCGTGATAGCTTCAAGCGCGTTTATAGTGAGGGAAGTGTACTGAGTCGTCGACGTCACTCTCCCTTCCCATTCCCACATCCCAGCCACTGTCCGAGCCGGTCAGCAGACTGGAGTGGGAAATAGGCGCGGTGGCTGGCATGGTCGACTGACCATGACTGCGCGCGCCACGTGCACGACCGGACCCCCCCATTCATACACACACGCCAGGATTTCGCACAACGGGGGTTGAACGGCGTGTCTCTCACTTGCGTGTGAGGGCCGTGGTAGGTACTGTTTCAGCCCGTCCTCAGCCCACCAGTCCGCCACTCCACACAACACACACACACACAACGGGACGAACTGGGTTGACCGAGTGGGGGCGTTAATCAGCAACCTTCCTATCCACGACGCTTGACGTGTCGGGATAGTCTCAGACTCAAGTCACCCGTGCAGCCGAAGCCGCATGGGGACCGAATCGAGATGCACACTTCCCACTTGCATGGAAGGTGGCAGTTGGGTGCATGCGGTGGGTGAGTGTTGATGTGTGGTGGTGGTGGTGGTGGTGGTGGTGGTGGTGGTGGTGGTGGTGGTGGTGAAGGTGGTGGAGCCAGGGAGGGAGGGTGTTATTGTGTGGCCGGCGGTTGTCTACCGCAGGTCGTCGGGTATGTGAATGTGGTCGAATAGGCCCATGCGATGCGTGAAAGTGCGAGGGCAGTGTGGGCAGTGGAGGCGAGCTTGGTGGGTATAGGTTGGTGCTCCAGACATTGGTTCGCCAGTCTCCGTGCGATGGATCCGCAAGTGACTGACCAGGCCTATGTCTGAAGTGATGATGCGGTCGCAGTGAGGGCAGGTGTAGTCCTGGTCCTCACCCCTTGAGTCGGAGGTTGAAGGGATGGTGTCTGTTGTTGTGTCATGGATGTGTGTGATGTTGGTGTGAGTGATGGCCACCAGGGAGGCCGTAGTTGGTGCAGTGGGGCAGGGGGAGGAGCCGGAGCCGGAGAAAGGAAAGAAGAGGAGGAGGAGGAGGAGGATAGAAGTGGTGGTTCAGAAGAATTGTCAGACTTATTTGACGGCGGAGAGGACGAGGAAGCACGCAAATCACAGCAACGCCTCGTCCGAAACGCCGACGTACAACCGCTTCCAGCGTATCCTCGGTGTCAACGTACATTCCGGACACGAATTGGACCCATTGGACACCTTCCGACCAACTGCACCTCCCATACCGCACCAACCGCCGTCCCTCCCTCCGTCTCTTCCTCTTCCCCGTACCTAGGTAAGCCGCAACACCCTCTGGTTTACAACAGGTTTAACCATGATTTCCCACCAGCAAAAATAACATGAAAACAGGTTCCGATACAAACCAAGATGCGAGTTCCAGAATGTAATTGATAGGAATAAGAAGCGATTGCTGAAACAAAAATTTTATTCGCCTGACGCTTCGAATTCTCACTTGAACATATCGTCAGAGACAGTGACAGAAATGGGTGATTTGTGCACAGGAAGTTGCCGTATTTTTAAGATTCATTTGCTATACCACCGCATACATATTATACTTGGTCGCTCTCCCCATAATCAAAAATTGTTTCCCCTTAATGAGGTCATTGTTTGATGGCCACCGTGAAAGTTTTTAATTGCTGAAATCTCATTAACGTGTTGGTTGCTGGTGTGATGACTACTCGGCCAATTGGCCCACCGGCCTTCGCGTTCCCCGAGTGGTCAATTAATTTGGCCAGCCTATGCCTCAGCACGGCATATGAAGTGGGGATAACGTTGTACTTCTTGATAGACTGAGGTCCCGTGAAGCATGACTCAAGCAACTCGCGGCTTACGTGATTATCCCCTATTGCAAGAAATTTGGCCTCATCGAACTGAAATGTGTGGCCGAATCTCGTCGAATGTACCACGACCTGAGAGTTGGGGTCATTTCTGCGCATCGCTGCCGCGTGTTTGGCAATTCGCGTCTGGAGCGGTCTTCTAGTTTCACTGACGTAGTTACTTTGTCCGCAACTGCACCAGATCCGATAGACGACTCCAGATATTTTGCCGTGGCAGTGGGTCTTTTGGTCTCATCACTTGACGCCTTATGGCGACCCCTGATCTGTGTGCAACTCCAAATCCAAGCGGTGCCAGAAGACGACTAACGGCCTCGACAACGTTCTTGGTGTATGGGATCGCTTGCCAGGATTTGGGGTCGGTACGATATTGTCGCCATTTGACGAAGTTGCTTGGGTATACATTTTCTCTGGAAACCCGTCAAAGATCTTGGAATGCGGCAACCTTGTCTTCCAGTTCACTGCAGTGCGTCTCAACACACCAATACGGCGTCCTTACGCAGCTGCGTTTGCAGCTGATTGGGCGGTTGATTTTGAAGTCGAGTATTTTCTGACACTCTTGATGTCCAGGGACACACGCCATCTAGAATATATTCCGCAGTTTACTGCAGATCTCCCCTACGTCCGAGGCAGCGACAATGTCGTTGATGTTGCATTATCCCGACCAAACACCAACAGCCTAACCCCCAATTTCGACCTTGCGAAGTTTGCGGATGTTTAATAGGCGAACGTCTGTTACTCTGTACCTTTGAGATGCAGCACTTCCCGCATCACCAGGTACGATATTGTGCGACTAATCCAATAGTACTCCTCGACCTTTTGTCTCACTATCCTACCACAACGTATTGCTTGACCATTTCTATTCCACGTTGCATCCCGGAATCCACGCTTGTCGTAAGCTACATTCATCTGGCCGCAAATGAACTCTTGCATTACTCTTCAGACTAGGCAGTATTTTTCCCGCCACTGGCGCACATTTTGTGCATCAAGTACATTGTCCGTCCCCGAAGCCCGATCACACTGCGTCCACTTAGACGCCATTGGCCCTATCACCATTCACGTGGATATGCGCGTATTCTGAAAGCGGTTGCTTGTTTCACGTAACGGTCGACTGCTATTGCTATCTCGGATACCCCGACAGGAAATATCGCCATGGATTTCTTGACACACTGCATATTGACTTTTGGTATGCCGGGCGTCATTAGTACTGATCACGGAAGTCATTTTCGACCTGGAATCTTCCGTGAGTTCCCTAGATTGCTGGAGTGTATGCACACTACAATCAAGGTATACCACCTTGTCTCCAACGGCCTCGTGGAGCGTCTACATCATCAACTCAAGTCTGCACTAACGCCCCACTCAGAAAAACAATCTCCCTCTTGTGCTTTTGGGCATCTGATCTTCTGTCAAGGAGGACACCCCATACACTGCTGCCGAAAAACTAAAAGGCGACCCTTCCGTTTGCCCGGCGACTTTGTACAGTCTTTTGTCACGAACACCAATATGCCGAGCATCTTCGTGCAGATGTTCAAACGACGCATGTCTCAACTGCGTCAAATTTCCCCTCGATGACATCCACATGACTTTTTGTGCATGAAGACCTCAAATCCGCTCCTTTTGGTTGCATCCGGCACGAAGCAGTTTGTTCCGCATATGATGGCTTATACAATGTTCTTCAGCGATGGACAAGTATCGCGTCGATCAGAAGGCCAACAAGACCGACACAGTCTACATTGGCAGACTTCATTCGCGAAAACATCCCGCCGTTCGTTGTGTCGTCGAATTCTTCTGCATCTTCCTTGCCTGATCTAACCGTTTCAGTCCACTCCACTCAACCACTACACTCGACCTCCCTACCTAACCGTCCTGATTCACCTCTTATACCTCCACGCACTTCACCTTGCTTTTGTAGACATATCCATTTTCAAACCAAACTCATAGAGTTTGTGATGTAACTTTTTGCATTTTTCATCGTGCATTTTTTGTTGAACAAACGCTCTGCCGTGGGGCAGCTGTGTAGATCTATGCACATTTGCAATTCTGCTCTTCGCATTTACTTTAAAACTTGAACATTCTCTACTGTTGGTTGAATATGCGAAAAATGCACACAACTGGTTTCGAATTGCCTTAGCACGATTTTTGTGTCCGTTTGTTGCATGGAGACTTGGTTTCAGTGATTGCACTCATGCAGCTCAAAACGTTTCATTTAATGGCCCCGGACAGTTTTTATTTCTCGGTTGAATCTTGTGGGGCGTGAATTTAATCATGAAAATGCTCCACGAATTTACCTTAGCTCGGAACTGTCTGAACTTTATGCAGAACAATAATTGTCCTCGCCGTTTTTTCCGTAACTTACTATCGTTTTTTTTCTCAAGAAACACAGCGTCCTCCACGAAGGTTTCAATTTCGAATATATCTCCTTTATTCATAGTGTATAACGCTTGTTTAGCAAGTAAAATAGTTTTGCGAGCAAGTGCTTCTTGTGAATATTTTGGCAAAGCTTGTGTAAACACTCAATTAATTTGAAATTCAAACTAATTCTGTATTTCATGGCCGACACAGCAGTATTTTAGTACTGACACGTTAATGTAAAATAGGGTAAGATTTTGGGTAAATTACCTATGGTATCATGACTGATACGGCTAGTCGTCATGACAACAAAATTAATTTCACTGTTTCTGGCCGATTTCAATCTTCAGCCCGAATGCCAGTATTGGTATTGGTAAATTTTACATTTAATGGTAGCTTTATTGAATGGCATAGCCCAAGTTCCCACTTGTGTAGAAAACTACTTTTATCTGATTCTGTCCTTGGTGACGGATTTGAGTACGAATAAAAAGGGTCGGACAAACACAAACATTGCTACATTGCCCTTTTCCCCTCCATTAAGTCCCGGTCCTATCGGTTAAGGTTAGATGCTTAGTTTGCTCGTCGAAGGCCTTTTGTGCAAAATTTGGAAGATTTCAACTGCACTATCCAACCAGATTGCCCGACTCTAACACTATTGGCAATTACGCTTTTACGCCAGCAGTCGGCATATTAGGATGAATGCATGACGTCCCAAGTTCTTTCAATTTATAAGTCATAATATTGATTCATTGGTTTGGCTGCTTCTCCGCCTTTCACATATTCTGCGAACAACAGCATAATATTATTTTCTAATAAGTTTCAAATCTCAGTCTTACTTTTATTCTCAGTAGGGCACTGTATTGTTAGCCCAGTCATCAGTCATTCAACTATTTACTTTGCCATTTTCAGTGCCTTAAAGCAACGGTTCCTTCCGCCATAACACTGTTTTAGCTTTTGCGACGGAAGTGATGAAAGCGATTGAACATATTTAGCTCCATTTGTAGAAGACGATCAGTAATATGCAGATTGACGTGAGAGTTTCAATTCATTTGACAGATTAACCGGTGCAAATTTGTATTTATTAAAACGCTCCCCATTGGCGTTTCGTCATCATCATGGAGGAAGTCAAAGCTTACAAATCGATTATCAGTCGATCTCATACGCTGATCCACGCATTTGGCAGGCGTTAGAGAATGTTGATTCCAACAGCTGCCGCATGACCGTCAACGCGTTGATGCGTACCTTTCGAGGTAGATGAAATATAGAATTGGTATATGCCGAATGACCTTGACTAGGTGTCGATGATGGGGAATTGGACATAATCGTGTACCTCCAAATCGCATTAGAGGCTACCGTCGCCAAAACGTTAACTCGGATATTTTTCAAAGAAATTATCTTCCAAATGGACGAATCAGTCCTGTGCTGCTGATTGCGATCAAACCAGCTAGTGAGGTATGCATACCGACAGGTGACGTTCAGACGTATTTCAGAAAACAGGAGTGCACACAACTGTCTCTCCTGCTGCACGTCCACCTTCATGCATCCGCTTCCTCTGCTAAACTGCATTGCCTCAACACTGCATGCGCATTGGCTACCACTGATGGGCTGGATATGATATTGCTGATGCAGTGGGATAGATAGGAATAACCACTGCAGATTGGAAATCACCATATCCGGACCATCGAATGGACAATGTCTTTCATCTAAAAGGAAAACAAATGAAGCACTTTTTAAAAAAGGTCACGGCACAATTGATGTAATCGTCTTCTCCCATTTGGTAAGCACAAGTGTCCCTTTTGTGCTCCCACATGCATAAGACGCCCGATTATTACAACGACGCAAAGTTTAGACGCTTCTTCTAATGTAAACAGATTACAGCAAATGTCCATCAGAATGCTGAATCCTCGGAATACAAGTAACAATAAAAAAAATGAATTAAATCCTCTCTTATTAAACTGCATTCTACTTACTTGAAATTCTTCGACAACCTTGTGCTGCAACCACATACAAGACGCTTGCTGCTAACCACAGAGCCAGCATTGCTCTTGGAAAATTGTTCTGGGTATCTATTTTCAATCTCCTGTAGAAAGCGTGCTTTGAAAAAAATGACTACTTAAGTAGTAAGCATTTGTTCCCATTAATTTTCGATGGTCTTGGAAATTCAGGTATATTTTATAGAAACAACAAACACACATACGCTTTCTTTAAATTAATCAATAGAGAATCACGTATTTTTTTATATTTAAGGAAGGAGTATAATTAGGTTTTAAAAAGTTTTCCAATTGTTGAAAAATTTGGAGCCTGATCATTCGTTGCATTAGCGCTTAGTGATTACACTCTACCAGGTGCATGCGTTCCGCGTAAAGAAAATCACATATTTTTCTATGCCATTGGAGAGATATTATACAGGGTCCATAAAATTTTGCAATGGATGCGGACCATGTTGTACATTTCATGAGGAGCAGTGGTAAACGGCCAGGTACGATGCTATGTGAATGAACATATCGCGATCTTAAAAAGTCTCATAATAAGAAACTTTTTAAAAACCTAATTATACTCCTTCCTTAAGTATAAAATATAAAGAAGACGTGATTCTCCATTGATTGACTAAAGGAAAGCATATTATTGTTTGTGGTTTGGAAACTTGTTCTGGGTATCTCTTTAAAAAAATTCTATTACACGTTTTGCAGACAGCAGACCTATCAGTCTTTGGACATAGGTTTTTCAAGCATGTGTCTCACAGACTTGATGTTAACTTTAAAAAGGACTGAAAACGGTGGGCTAACTAAGCCAAGGTTTGTGCAACCAGAAAACCGATAAGTTTCACTTAAGAGCCACGACTGGAGTATTAACTTGCGGACATATCCAGAGGGATATTATGCCACCGGCTCCACTGCCAAATATCGTAGTCTATTTGAACATTTTTATGCCAGTGAACATCAACAACCACCGGATGGATAAAACAGAGAAAGTAAAGCAGTTCACTTATTAATATCAGGGTCAATGTTCATGTAGTGTTGGAAATCTCTCAAGGTCAGAATTTTTACTGCCTGCCATGGCTGACACGTAAGATATCCTTATTCCGCGTCCTTAGCTGTTGATATTCGTAAACATTATGTTATTATTCGTATTTAAAGTTACAGTTACTTCTTCAGTGTGCTTAGCTGGTCAAATGCTTAAACAGTATGTCGATTATTCGTATTTAAAGCTGGTTTTTATGATGCAGTTGATGTTTCCGGCATACATATGTCCTGATTGTTCGACTATGTCCTACGTATTAGAAATAATTAATACAGAAAATAAATTAAATCCTATATTCTTACACTACGTTGTACTTACGCAAAATTCTTCGACAACCATGTGCTGCAACTACATACAAGACGCTTGCGGCTAACCACAGACCCAGCATAGTTCTTGATGGCCATATCCTAGCACTGACGTTCTTTTAAAGGGTCACACAAAATTCCTCATTGGACTAAATCCAAAGATGTTAGTGGTAGCCGGATCAAAATTATACTCTTTAATCATGTGTGTTTCTGATGGGTTTTGTTTCGAGGTAACATTTTTACAACCCCGGGTTTTTTCAGATTTCTCGGAGGGTTCCTCCTGCTAATTTTGTACGTGTATTTCATCACAGACGGCGCACTATTCATTCATAGTTAAGATAACTTAGTCTGTTATTTTTTCTCCGTGAAGGAGTATCGCTAGGCAATCGATAGAAGTAAAATTGGCGACCGTATACAATTACCTGTTTAGCATGCTTCTCCAACTCTGCGAGGCCTGCCCACTTGCCCTAGCACTTCCAAACACATATTCGGGCATCGGGGTCATACTCTTTAGGACATCGATCGTAGTCAGAAGAGGGTATTAGAAACTTTCTTCCTTAGCATTCCTTAGCCCGAATTATACTCAATCCTTGGAACGTTCTTATATTCCAGACATCCATGCCGATTGCCTATGTCGTCAATTACCTAGCCTAGATGTTTAATCGTTCTAAGGAACGACGCCTAAGAAGATAAAAGTAAAACTACGTTCATTTCCTAGTGACAGCATTCCTTTAGCACGCTGATCTGAATTAGAGGGCTGATGCACTTTTCATAGAAGCTATGCAATGACCGTTAATTTAGTAAGACTTCGAGAATGGCCGAATGTAGTGCATTTTGTCCTCAAAAGAACTGGCCGAGGGCTGTGAAAGCAGAATGTCGAGCAGTCGAAGATTAATTTCCACAGCGCGTTTGTAAATAAACTCTATTATTCACGCGTTTAAATTTGTTCGAACCTAGACTGGAAAAGCTAGAGGAATGAACGTGGTTTACTGTATAAAGTTATTTAAAGACAGCATATTTACTTAAGGTCGCGTAATTCTTCGGAAAAATTAGATTACAATGACGACCGCTATCAGAGTCCAAGCTAACCTGTGAACTGTCATTCGGTTATTAGTTTAAAAAGATTAAGGAG